TTTACTCTTGCACCTAAAAGTAGCTGCTGAAGGAAGAAAAGCACACACCATTACAAATCCATGCCTCCAAAAATCAATGGTTGTAAGTGGGTTGATTATATAAGCTCAGCCACCCACTAAGTTGCCCGTGGCCAGTTCTTTCTCTGCTTCCCCATAGACTACTCTAAACCTTCACACATCCTCAAAACCCCTGCTCTTCTTCACCCCTGCATCCTTCAGTCATGACCTCCTGCACCTCGTTACAAGATGAAAATCCTCGCACAGCCTAACCTTTCAACGCCTTCCCTTTGGTGGAAGCAGTAGCTCTGAACTTCAGTTGACATGAGACTCACCCAGGGAGCCCCTTCACCCTAATGTCCAGATTCACTAGGTCTGGGACAGATTCCAGAAACAAGCATGGCAATAGATTCAGATGGATGAAAGTCATGCACCAAATTTTGAGGAAAATTAATCTATAGGAGGGGTCTGCAAACTCTGGCCCTCCAGCCAAATCCAGGCCTCTGTTTATTTTTGTGTGGTCTGTGTCCTTAAAAATGCGTTTTACATTTTTAAAGGGTTGAAAAAAAGTTAAAAGAAGAAAAGTTCACGACACGTGAAAATTATATGAAATTCCAATGTCAATGTCCATAAATAAAGTTTCATGAGAACACAGCCATGCCCATTTACAGCTTATCTATGGCTGCTCTCAGGCTACCATCGCAGAGTTGAGTAGTTACGACAAAGACTACGGCCTGCAAAGCCCCCAAAATTTGTGTACTGTCTGGTTCTTTTATACAAAATGTTTGCTGTTCCCTGGTCTGCACCATAAAGGGTAAACACCTCACCAGAGTATTTCAGCTTCCCAGTGATGTGATTCTGGCTTACTTCTCCAACCGAGATTCCTGCCATCCACACAACTGCAGCCCACCAACCATCCATCCACTCCAGTGGACTCTCGGTTCCTTGAAATGAAAGACAACTTCATACTCCACACCTCTACAAGCGCTGTTCTTTCTAACCGCTTTGCCTGAAACATTCTTCTTCATCCTTCGAGATCGAAGTGCTACTCCTCTCCTGAGAGATGCTCTCTGACATCCCCTTCCACTGTGCCTGATTAATTAGTATCCCAATCATCTGTGTACAGCAGTGGTTCTCAAACTTTCGGGCACATCAGCACCATCTGGAGGCTCCTTAAATAACCTGTGGCTGGGCCCAGCCCCAGAGCAGCAGATGGGGCACCAGGCAAAGAATGTACATTTCTAACATGTTTCCAGGCTGAGGCTGCTGGTCCAGGGACTACACCTGAGCAACTCTTGTTGATGTATATGTCCCCCACCCCACAATGAGTTTTTTGAGGATGGGCCCTATATTATTCATGTTTGAATCATCACAGCCTCGCACAGCCCCAGAAATTCCTGGAACACAGTAGAAACTCAACACTTGTTGGCGGCTAACCAAATTAGTTTCCTCCTGGAGGTTAATCATTTTCATCATCAGAGAATGAAGGGGAAATTAAGTGGGAAGAGGAGACATGACTTTGCAGGAACTACTGAGGCCAAAAAAGAAGAAGAAAGTGGCTCTCTGCTAGACTGATGTTCTGTGGTCTGCCATATGCATTCTGAGCTGGAATGAACCAGAAAGCCCAGGGCGAAGAGTGGACTGCTGAAGTCAGAAACACAACAGGACAGCTTGGGGGCAGCATCTTCCGGAAGGCAGGGGGAAGTTAGGTGCAGGACCCTTCTTCCCATAAAGGCCAGTCTACTGTCCACTTCAAAAACAAGGCTCTACATAATGAAGTTTGATAATGTGTATCAGTAACATCGGCATATACAATAATGAATAAATGTTACTAATGACAAACATTTATTGAGCACCTACTATGTCCCTGGAATACAAAGAAGGATACAACCTGGACCTCAAAGAAACTTTAGTTTGAAATTCAGCATATAAACCCAGGAAGATAACTAACACTATAAGGTAAAGTTTACTAAATGTCAAATGTAAACCATGTCAAAGGTCAACAGTAAATTCATAGGAGCCCTGTGTCCTATGGATTTCCCTTCTCTGGTCCACCAAGGCTGCACCTACAAACCTCTGTCGGCACCCCAAGGTCTGAGCATGCGGCACTTGTATACTTATATGGGTCCTTTATCTCCTCTACTGGTGTGTAAGCTCTTCTAGAACAGGGAAGACCTTGATTTTTTCATCCTTGTATTTCTACCACCTGGCCTGGTACCTGG